AGTGGCACGAGTGACTGTGAGGTTTGCCCGAGGGGCTGTATATGAGTGATGTTTTGCCCGAGGGGCTGTTTATGATTTTATCATTTTTGCTCACCTTTGCACTGAGCCTTTGTTTGAAAAACTGTTGGAAAAATATCTTTAAATGATTTTTACTAGAACTGGGTTTAAACGAGATGTTTGATTCAAATCCTGATTTTTAAAGCCTGTGGTATTTTACTGAGATTTCCTTAAATGAATGTTATATGCTTTATTGCTCGTCACTTCTGCTCAGTCTTTATTTATTGTTGTTACTTACTGAGTTGGCGTACTCACGTTACCCCCTTCACCTTGTGTGCAGATTCAGGTGTAGCTGGACACGGTAGCGGTTATTGAGTATTCTGGTTGCAGATTTCTTTGAGATAGCAAGGAAGCTGTTTGGCGATCGCAGCCCGTGCTCTTCTCCCTCTTATCTTCCTCTAGTTGTATTTAGCTATTTTCCGGGCTGAGTTAGCCTTGATATTGTTAGACAAATTATAGTAGATGCTCGTGACTAGTGACACCCCAATGTCGGGCTTTTCTTTTCCGCACTTATATTTTTCTTTGATTTGAACTCTTTAAATGGAGGTTTTATGTTAAATAACCTTGAAATTATCTTTAAAATAAAAATATCGGTTTGTTTTGAAAATGAGCCGGCTTGCCTAGTTCCACGATAGGCGCCATCACGACAGGAGTTAGTTTTGGGTCGTGACAATATGGATGTGCCATTAACAAAAGAAAGTCATTTCTCGGGTGCAAATGTGCGTTTGAAATTGTTTATGATAACTGGGATAAGTCCTTTGCCTACCCAGGTACATGGCCGCATTGCAACACTTTAACCCCGGGACTATTATTGAATGGAAGCTTGAGCGGAGTCCGGGAATACTAGAACACATATTCAGATATGTGTTCTCGCATTTAAACTAGCCATTGATGGTTTTGTGCATTGTCGGGCGGTAATATCCATAGACGGCACTCATGTCTATGGAAAGTATGATATTAAGTTGTTGAGTAGATGGTAATGGAAGTATATTTTCCCTAGTTTACTATTTTATATGTTTGTTTATTATTCTATATGTTAGTTTCTTATTTTATATGTTTGTTTTCTTACTCACTTATTTTTAGTATAATAGAATTAAATAACTAATTTTCATAACTACACATGCTTTAATTATTAAATATTTATATAAAAATATATAGTTTGACAAATATTGTTATTTTTTAATGTTATTTTCTTACATTTGTTGACTATAATTCGAGAGAGTTTGTATTTGAACTATCATCTTTTTTCAGATTTTTTGGGGCTAACAGATAATTAAATGATTAATTTCAATAACTACAAAGACATTTCGCAAAAGGGCACTACATTTTACTATACTAAAGGGCACTATATTAACGCCTTAGATACGATGTTAGCTTGCTATAATACCGAGAATCTATATTTTTTGTGGGACCGGAGGGTTCCAACTGAGATTTATTTCGTTAAAAATTAGGNCTATAGTATAGCACAGTATATATGCGCGCTATAGTATAGCTCAGTATATATGCGCGCTATACCTTCGCGCTCATTTTAAATTCAAATATAGCGCAGTTATTTACCGCGCTATACTTTAACGGACAAACGTGCCGTTAAGGTATAGCGCGGTGAATAACTGCGCTATATATAAAATAGTGCCTAGTTTTTCTTCTTTTTTTTTTACCTATTATGGTTGTTAGAGTCCAAAAAAATCACAATTAGGTTTCAGACTCGTTATTTGTCCATTTCTAACTGCCTCATATAGTCATATTGTGTGTTGTATTATCCCTTTTCATTTTTAATATTCGCCCTTCTGGTCTTTGTCTAACTAAAGCAGAGGCGGAGTCTAAATTCAAATCTTATTACAACCTGCTCCTTTTCACCCAAGAATACAAACTTACAAAGTGTAGTCTTTTCATTTCCCTCTTACATTAGAGTGCTCATGACTTAAAAAATTTGGATCTAACACTGATCATAATGTAACGACTTCCCCTATATAGATACGAAATCAATTTGTAAAATATATAATTACAATTATGGCTAGAAAGGAAGGTAGTATTTTTTATCTTCATAAGCTACAGGTTTCATTCACTTACATTTTATGGTTCACACTATTCAAAGATGATGTATTGATATCTATTTCAAAGTTTCACAATGCTTGGATTCATCTAGCATAAAGTTATTACTCCTATCAGGTATTTTTCTCAATATATTATAATCATATTGTTGATCACCACAGTTAGTAACATTAATCAACGTTCAGTTATTTAAATTCAAAAGTTAAATTTTTGATAGATAACTCTTAACTGGTGGTAACATTAATATTTATCAAAAGAGTTATAAACCAAAAGAGACTTAAATCCGTTAGAAGGATTAGGGCAAGTTACACATTTGGCATTTACTATATATATATATATATATATATATATATATATATATATATACACACACACACACACACCAACAACCACCCAGTAAAATTCCACTAGTGGGGTGTGGGGAGGGTAGAGTGTACGCAGACTTTACCCCTACCCCAAAGGGATAGAGAGGTTGTTTCCGGGAGATCCTTGGCTCAGAGACAATAGATCCGTAACAACAATAGAAACCAGAAAAATAGTATCAGCATAGTAAAATACAACAAATAAATGGAAAGACCAAAATGTGAAAGACAAAAAAAATATGAAATACAATAAAAACCGCTAGCAGTCCTAGACAAAACACTATTAGACTAGCCGGCGCAGCGAGGAGAAACGCTCGACTATCCCCTAACCTACAACTCTAATGCTCGACCTCCACACATTCATATCAAGGGCCATGTCCTCAAAAATCTGAAGTTGCGCCATGTCCTGCTTGATCACCTCGCCCCAATACTTCTTAGGCCGCCCTCTACCTCTTCTCGTGCCTGCCAGAGCCAGCTGCTCATACCTCCTAACCGAAGCATCTAGGCTCTTCCTCCGCACGTGCCCGAACCATCTAAGCCTCGTTTCCCACATCTTGTCATCCATAGGAGTCACGCCCACCCTCTCCCGAATATCCTCATTCCTAAATTTATCCATCCTAGTGTGCCTGCACATCCATCTCAATATCCTAATTTCTGGTACTTTCATCTTCTAGGTATGTGAAATCTTGATTGGCCAATACTCATCCTCATACAACATGGCTGGTCTAACCACCGCTCTGTAGAACTTTCCTTTACGTTTAGGTAGAATCCTACTAGTGGGATCTGGGGAGGGTAGAGTGTACGCAGACCTTACCCCTACCCGAAGGGATAGAGAGGTTGTTTCCGAAAGACCCTCGGCTCAGAGACAATAGATCCGTAACAACAACAGAAACCAGAAAAATAGTATCAGCATTGTAAAATACAGCAAATAAATGGAAATGCCAAAATGTGAAAGACAAAAAAAATGTGAAATACAATAAAAACCGCTAGCAGTCCTAGACAAAACACTATCAGACTAGTCGGCGCAGCGAGGAGAAATGCTCGACTATCCCCTAACCTACAACCCTAATGCTCGACCTCCACACCTTCATATCAAGGGCCATGTCCTCGGAAATCTGAAGTTGCGTCATGTCCTGCTTGATCACCTCGCCCCAATACTTCTTAGGCCGCCCTCTACCTCTTCTCGTGCCTGCCAGAGCCAACCGCTCACACCTCCTAACCGAAGCATCTAGGCTCTTCCTCCACACGTGCCCGAACCATCTAAATCTCGCTTCCTGTATTTTGTCATCCACGGGAGTCACGCCCACCCTCTTCCGAATATCCTCATTCCTAATTTTATCCATTCTAGTGTGCTTGCACATCCATCTCAACATCCTCATTTCTGGTACTTTCATCTTCTGGGTATGTGAAATCTTGACTGGCCAACACTCATCCTCATACAACATGGCAGGTCTAACTACCGCTCTATAAAACTTACCTTTACGTTTCGGTGGCACATTCTTGTCACACAGGACTCCAGACGCTAACCTCCATTTTATCCACCCCACCCCGATATGGTGCGTGATATCCCGTCGATTTTCCCATCTCCCTAGATAATAGACCCTAACTACTTGAAACTCTCTCTCTTAGGGATGACTTATGAGTCGAGCCTCACTTCCACATCCGCTTCCCCCGACACGTTGTTGAACTTACACTCAAAATATTCCGTCTTGGTCCTACTCAACTTGAAACATTTAGACTGCAGGGCCTGCCTCCATATATNGCCGGTATACATAGATTATGCATTATTTATACACAGTTATACATATGTTGTATACGAATTATACGTATATTATACATTCATCAGCTATTTTTAGTTTAAGAGATCAGGTGGGCGGCTATTTGGGTTAATTCTTCTATAATTTAATGTATTAATATATAAAGATGGATTAGGCTATGTTCGGTCACAAGTCCAAACTCGTAACCAAAGAAAGGAATAACATCAATTGAATTCTGGTTTACTTGGGCCCCTCCCCAGGCCCATGTTCTTCGGCCAATTCGATTAAGCTGACTACGCCTCCCCCTCTCTTCCCCAGTGCGGCCTGCTACTCCGGCGAGTCATCACTGCCTCTTTCTCCTGCGAAAATCTGTGTTATAGGTTTCCCTCTTTGTTTATCCTGCTCTGTCATTCCTCCTCTTCGAAAACCCTAATTTCTCTTCTTTTTTTTTAAGTACTAATTTTTTTTTTAATTATTTTTGAACTTTTTAATGCTTCATATTCTTTGCGTAATCAGGAAGATTTGATTTTTTTCAAGTTGACAAGTTTTGCATTCATATTTGCTTCCTGTTATAGCTCCAAATTTTGAAATGGTGTACTAGTCTGCCTCTTGACTCTTGAGTATGAAATAAAAATATTAAACGCTCAAAAATGAGATTTTTATTATTGCATTTTGCTCTGCGAATTTTCAGCTCATTGAAATCAAAGTCTCCGAATTGACCAGATATTTCAAATTATGCAAGCAGCTGATTTCAATTTCTTATGAAAAAATTATGCTTCCTCTATCAATCTCTCGCCTTTTCTTGAAGACCAATTCAGCCAATGAGCCAATTTTTTTACTCAAGAAGGTCCTTTTATTCACCACTTGTTCATCATCAGCTGGAGAATTTTTGGGTCATTTGCTGAAAAATAAAAATGGGTCTGGTATGGAGAAGACTCTGAACACAGTTAAGGCTAAACTAGATGCTAAATGTGTTAATGAAGTATTAGAGAAATGCGCCGTTGATGATCCTCAAATGGGTCTCAGATTCTTCATTTGGGCTGGACTTCATCCCAGTTATAGACACAGCAGTTACATGTTTAGTAGAGCTTATAAACTTCTCGGATTTGATCGCAAACCACGAATTATTCAAGATGTCATTGAGGTTTATAGGCTGCAGAATAATTATGTTCCAAGTGCTAGGATGTTTAAGGTTATTTTGAATTTGTGTAGAGAGGGAAAAGATGCTAACTTAGGCTTGTGGGTGTTGTGGAAAATGAAAGAGTTGAATTGTAGGCCGGATACGACAGTGTATAATGTAGTTATTCGATTATTATGTGAGAAAGGTGTTATGGATGAAGCAATGGGTTTGATGAAAGAGATGGATTTGATTGATCTTCATCCTGATATGATCACTTATGTTGTGTTGATTAAAGGGTTGTCTGAGGTGGGTAGGTTGGAAGAAGCTTGTGGATTAACCAAAGCTATGAGGGGACATGGATGCGTGCCAAATACGGTGACCTATTCAGCTCTTCTTGACGGGATTTGTAGGTTCGGGAGTTTGGAAAGGGCGCTTGAGTTATTGAGAGAAATGGAAAAAGATGGTGGGCAGTGTAAGCCCAACGTCGTTACTTATACTACTGTGGTTCAAAATTTTGTTGAGAAAGGTCAGTCGATAGAGGCATTAAGTATTTTGGACCAAATGAGGGATTTTGGTTGTAAACCAAATAGGGTGTTTATCTGTACTTTGATTCAGGGTCTTTGCAAAGATGGGCATATGGAGGAAGCGCATAAAGTCATCAACAGAGTAGCTGAAACTGGTATTCCATATGATTCTTGTTACAGTTTTCTAGTTTTATCACTGTTTCGGATTGGAAAACTCAAGGAGGCAGAAATGTGTTTTAGGAGAATGTTGGCTGGTGGCCTAAAGCCTGATGGTTTGACCTCAAGCACAATAATGAGATGGCTTTGTCAGCAGAGAAGGATACTTGATGGATATCACTTGATTGACGCGATTGAGCAGTCTGCAGGCGTATCTTCTATAGATTCTGATATTTATTCTATACTTATGGCTGGACTATGTGAGGAAAATCATCTTGTTGAAGCTGCAAAGCTTGCTAGTCTAATGGTAGGGAAAGGAATTCAGCTTAAAGGTCCTTGTACTAAGAATGTAATTGAATGTCTTAGACGTTGTGGCAAAGAAGATTTAGCTTCAAGCATTGGTAGTATTAAGTGCTGATTAATGACCAAGATTGCTTTAATATCGTGATCCCACTTGTGCCTCAGCATTGTCAACAAACAGTCACCTCACCTTTGAGATTGACCCTCAATTGTATTCCATATTCCACCTAATTGAATTCTTCTCCAGTTTTGTGCAATAAAAAAAAATAGTTGGGCTTCTAGTCAGGTTGGATTGATAACTCTTTTCAGATTTCAACTTACATCTGATCTGTGTATTGTCGGCCGATATTCTTATCCAGCATGAGATGGAAAGAGCAGGTGAAGTGCTCCTTTGAATATTCAATTGAGGTAACACTGATTGGTGTATTATTTTATAGCTAATAACATGGAATAACAATACATGGATTAAAGCAAATACTAAATTTTATATCATGATTATTCTATCTAATACATAAAACCGAATGAGCCCTGAGTGAAGAAATTTCCGAGACTTCAGACATACAGTAAGATGCGCAAAGCAAGTGGTCCTATTTATTTTTATCTTCTAGGATGTGCTCCCGTCATTATACCTGACAATTATCCCTCTATTTTTTGAGGTTTTCCATCATAGGAAAAGGACATTCCAAGTTCTACGAGTATACTCCTTTTCTCTGAGGAAAAGTACCTTGAGATGCAACAGAGGGTCAAACCGGTACATAAGAATTTCATTTGGTATCTGAGCTGTCAAGTATGATTTGTTTCATATGATTTTCATTCTCTTTGGAACAATAGAGTTTTTAGTATGAACTATCTGAATGAGAAGTATTGAATTATAGTTGTAGCACATGTAAAATATAGAGAAAAAAGGTATTGAATTATAGTTGTAGCACATGTAAAATATAGAGAAAAAAGGTCATTGATCCTCTGGAGCTGGTTCTTCCCATCGCTGAATACTTCTCTGTTGCCTGTTTTAGTGATGATACTTTTTGCCCAACAGAGAAAAGTAAAAGTCTTATCACTCAAGACAGCCAAAAGAATACAGTCCGACCTTGAATTTGGAGGCGTGTAATTCATGCACCAGTGCTTGAAGGAAAATATTTAAAGCAGGGGTGTGAGAGACTAAGAGTAGAGAACAAGTAGATAGTATTTAACAGTTTGCAGGAAATATTCGTTCATTTTGTTTCACTTTCATTTTTTTTCCGATGACCAGCAGATTGGCGTCCAAAAGATGTCTGAAGACTTCTGTGGTTTTCAATCATGTCAATGTGGCACCATGGAACTATTTGTAGCCCAGTTAAAAAAAAATCTGAAAACATGTGGGTACTTGAATAGATCAATGCATGTTAGTAGAGAATAATGATGTTAAATTCGATCTTCTCTGATGTGGGGAATTAAAATTTGAGCTAGGCTGATTATTATCACTTCATTTCAAGTTAACATGTCCATCAACTTCTACTCGGATTTGCATGCATTAATCTCTCATTTGCTAAAAAGAGAAGCAGTAGAAAGAGCATAAGGGTAAGAAACAGAACCGCTTGCTTTGCACCTCTTATGGTTTATGGACCATAGTAGGAGGATTGCATTATTCGGTGTTATCCTGTTAAGAGAACTGGTTCCAGCCTTTGAAAGGATATTATTGCGTATTCACCCGGACAAGTGCTTGGCGCGTCCATTTTTGTGAATAGAAATTACTCAAGTTGTTAATAGACGTGCATGGCATGCAACCAAGTTGACATCTGAAGTTTTAAACCTATACAAGGTATATAATGTGCTCTTTTTTTTCATCATATATAATGTGTTCTTGATGCTTGTTTATTGATACTAATTAATAACTGCTCTTTCTGGATTAGAAGCGATACTGTCTGGAATGGATCAAATGCACTCCATTTAAGGCCTCATTTGTTTTTTTTAAGATTAAGACGTCTGAATCTGAATACACGTCTGAATATCAAAATGTGTGTTAAGATTAAGACATCTGAATCTGAATACACATCTGAATGTCAAGATGTGTATTAAGATATGAATACTAAATGATTAAGACTGTTTGATTTTTAACATCTGAATGTATAAAATTTACATTTATTTGAAAATTAATAAACATAAAATTCAAATAAAATACTAATTAATCTAATATTACATCACTAAAATATATAGCTTTTTAAAATATGATAGTTGCTGGTGGTGATGGCTAACGGCAGTGCTTGTGAATGCCGACTAAAAGGGGTGGTTGGTGGTAGTTTAGGGTAGTAGCTAGCGGTGATTGGTAGTGATAGCTATTATGATTGAGGATGGTGGTGGTGAGTGGTGATATTTAATAATGGCGGGTGGTGGTAGTGGTTGTTGTGATTGAGGAAGATGGTGGTGGGTGGTGGTAGTTTATAATGATGGACAATGCCAGCTATGGTTGTTGATGGTGATGGGGTGGTTAGTTGTGCTAGTTGAGGTGGATGAGTGTTGGTTGTCGTTAATGATGGTGGTGGGAGTGGTGGGGATGATGGGTGGTGGTAGTCGACAATGGTGGCGGCTATGATTGAGGATGATGGTGGTGGTGGGTGGCATGGTGGTAGTTGATAATGGTAGGCGGTGGCGGCAGTTAATAATGAATATGGATGATAGCATCTTAATGAAATTAAGTCTCTGTTATAGATCTTAATGATACAGACCTATTCAGACCCATTAAGTGATTGTGAAGTAAAAAAATAACACACTTAAACATTAAGATCTGAATAATTAAGATTCAGACTTTGAAAACAAACGCACTTAATGTCTGAGATCTGAATGATTAAGATTCAGACCTCCATTAAGTGCAAACAAATGAGGCCTAAGTCCCCTCTACTCTCCGGTCGGACGTTTTGGAGTTTACACCTATGAAGTGCGAACTAGAAAATGGACTTCGAAATGACTCCTGAAAGTTTTATCTTTCAGATACATAAAATTTTGTTTCTGGATTTGTGCGAATGTTGGAAGGCCTTTTTTCTTTGGTATTCTGATGCTATTTTCTTCTTCTTCTTGAAACTTCACTTTATTGTTGTGATCAGACATTCGCTGTTTATTTCCCTTCTTGCACAGATAGAAGCAGAAACTGTTACAAGACATTGTTGTAACAGTAAACTTGTTCAATTAGATGGATATAATTGCATAAAGTTTTTAGAAATAAAACGAAGAATGATCAACATTGTGATCATGCCTGAAGCTAAGGTAGAGGGGTCTGGGGACAGCCAGGCTGAAATATCAGTTTTCGAAGATAATTAAATGATCAGGAAGTTGATAGATTTGCTGATTCATAGAGATTATGGAGCTTTCCCAAACTCTGATGACAAGATGCAATGGATCAGTGGGAGGAATGGCTGTTATACAGTCAAATCTGCCGATAATGTTGCTGTGTGAATCAAGGCGCTATGGTGGAGAACCGTGCCTGCATGTATATGGACAACTTGGAAAGAGAGAAATGCTACAAGGCCATCCAGAAGATCAAGATTAACTAACTGTATTCTTTTGTTTGATTTTTGGTGTAAAGAAAGTTTGTAGATGATGCAGAATCGCTGCTTGACATGTTAGACTCCTTTGTAAGATAGTACAGGATTTCTTGTTATTTTTTGAACTGTAAATATGGCTCTAGCACTGCTTTTGTGCTAATTTTAATAAACTGTTACCATTCTCAAAACATTATGTGTGTGTATGCATATATATATATATATATATATATATATATATATCAGTATTGCAGATGAGGATACATGGAGGTAGCATGTCTGATCATCCCTTTCCAATATAGCCAAAAGAAACAAGTACACTGCCAACAAAGTTTCACATGGTTTTGCAAACTGGCTATAGAGAAATTGTTCTGTTCCCAAATATGACTCAAAGAAGCAGTTGAAAATGTCTGTTTTTTAAAGTACGTGTGAGCTTACAAACAAAGGACAAACTTTTCTGAGAAAGATTTTACTATGGTGTGACTGTCAAAACTCACTTGTGTGGTTAACAAATTTATGCCTTTGCTTTCCCAAAACTCGAGTTCCTCTTTCCTATTTGTCGGACCAAGTTCATGTTTGTTACAGGAACTTGTGTGTTGTGTAGTGTTTGTAGGGCTGTGCATAATTTGGTAAATACCGAATTACCATACTGAAATCAAAATTTTTGGTATTTGGTATATTTGGTATTTTGGTATTTGGTTTACATTTTTAAAAAAATTGGTATTTTTTTAAGCAACTATACCACTAGGCAGTACTTGCCTAGTGGCTAATATATAAATAAAATCCCAAAATGGGTCAAAAACTTACAAGATGTCCAAACCAAAATAGAAGTTGCATGAAGCTACTAGCTATTAAAAAGATAGACAAGCTAAAATCTAATGAACTAGCTATTACAACATAATAAGTTGAATGTTTCCTTCTCCTGTCAGTGTATGTGAATCCAATTGTCATTGGTAAATACCAAGCAACACCTATCAAGCAACACCTATCAAGCTCTCACCAGGCGCCAGGGTATACTGTCCATAAGCTAAAATGAATTTCAAACATCTCCACCACAGAGTTGAAGCCAGCATAGTCTTCCAATTGTAGCTACTATATGATCTCCATATGCAGTGAACTGATTTTGTCCAAGTATTAATCATGTGCTCACTCATCAAAATTAATGTATAGAAGAGGAGCATGTCTTTAGGCAGGCTTTGCAAGGCAAAAGCCAGGCTTCGGCTGGCTTTAAGCAGGTTTTGCAAGGCAAAAGTCAGGCTTGAGCTGGCTTTAGGCAGGCTTTGCAAAGCAAAAGCAGGCATGAGCTGGCTTTAGGCCGGCTTTGCAAGGCAATAGCCAGAAATGAGCTGGCTTTAAGCAGGCTTTGCAAGGCAAAGGCTAGGCTTTGAAACTGTGCCTTTTGTGATCTTGTAGGCTTAGATCCTTCCCTACTAGAACCTTTAATGTAGACATCATTCTAAACATTGCTAAACCATCCTCAGATTGAGCATGAAAGCATGCTAATACCACTGAGAAATTATTCAACAATCTCCAGAAATACCATATGATGGGTTCAGCATTTTCCTTAGCATTTGGACATATCAGAAGTAGGATAAATTGTACCATC